GAACTCCTTCGCCAACCCGACTACCCTATTAGCTATGACATTTCCTTGCTTGTTTCGCAATGCATACACCCAATTTTTCGGCCTATGTACAAGTTTCGCTATGCAGCTTTTAGGCTTGTGCCTTTTTACAGCCTGATCTATTCTCTTCATGTCATACCTTCTGATTTCGGCTACCTTATGCCTTCGACTAACTTCGAAATGCTCCACTAGCGCAATTTTTTTTTAATTTCAAAGGAGGTTTTCATGGTCTGTCGTCTCCTTAAATTTTTTCAATTTTGGAAACGAAATTTTTCGTTTCGAGTGTTTGCCAGTTTCCTGTCCAGTGATTGTACCTCCGGATTTTATTGCACACTCGATGACAACAGAATGTGACACTAAACGCAAACAAGCTGTTTCCTGAGGCATCGTGTGGTGTATGGTACTTTAAGCCGGATTTGAAACGCCACCTTAAACGCACGTGAAATTTTTTCAGAAGGTACAATTTTAGGCAGGAAAGTACGGGGATTGTGTCTACGTAAACTTTTGTACGCACGTTCCTAAAAGGAACCGTGTTTGTGGAAGCTGTTCCTCCCAACCCTTTTCGCCGAAAAGCCTGTTACGATCACGCAATTCTCACAAGCTTAATCGACTGATAACTTTACAAGCTCACATAATGGTGGATGTTGACAGATATTCTCTACTACCGTCCAACTTTGTCTATCGCAGTTAAGTGCTTCGGATGTGAAGATAACTAAAACATGCTAGCATTGCCCAGTAGTGAGACCACGCAAGGCTGCCATTGTTGGGTAGTTTTTTATAGTCTGTGTTCATTCCTGCCAAGAAAAGCATGCGCAACACGCAGCTCGAGACGTTGCCTTGACAATGAAGCGATGCTTCGTCCTGACATCTTGATGCTAAGAAAAATAGAGAAAACGGGAGGCACTTCACAGACAAGAAGTGGGGAAAGAAACTACGCCAAAGGCACACCCTCTTGAATGGAAGTTTCTTGAATAAACTTTTAATGATAATATTGTTATGTGTGGTAATACGCCGTAGTGGAGGGCTGTGGAAGTTTTCAGCATCTGGTGTTTCTAAATGTGCAGTGAGAAGACGCAGTACCCCACCGCCTACAAATTCGTCTCCATTTAAATGCGAAAGCCATGGCTGGTATCGAACCCGCGACCTATCAGATAAGCAGCCGAGCACCCTAGAGAGAGCAATGCGAGAACATAAAAAAACACTTGTGCTTAAACTAGACTGCCGCATTCGATAAAAGTGGGCGCAGAACTTCAGGCATTTGACGTTCCACTGTAGTTCGCCTGCTCATGGTGCCTTCTGAGGGCTTCCAAGCTCTGGACGATCTACGTCCAGAGCTTAAAATGTACGGCCTCATTGTGTGGTGATTTCATATGCCATGGAACACTCCAAGTATGTCTAACAGTTTCCGAAGAACTATTATGATAGCTTTGTTTTCTTGAAGTAATGCCAAGGTGAGCCGTGAGTCATCATGTTGCTACGACTTCGGCAACAGAGGCCAAACTAGCATCAGTTGTGTCCATGGTGGTCTTTTTGGTACCAAGCGTCGCTGATCCGTTTGGCTGCGGCTTTGGCGATGTAGGTCAAGTTGAATACACAGGAAGCATGTTTTTCATTGCATTCTGCTTCATATAAGCCTGAGTACAATCCAGGTGGAGAAGGATATGGTGAAACTGGGCGTCTACTTGGCGCGGAGATGCAGAGGCAATCGATTTTTCTGACGAACTTCGGCGCCGACTGGCGCCGCTTTCTGACGTTTGCGGCGGCATTGCGACCCGATGTATGGCATCTTGCCATTTGTCTCAATAGAGCTATCTGTTTTTTTAATTATTATTTTGAGCCATTTATTGAGAAAGCTTTGTAGGGTCCTTTAGAATTTAAACATCTAAAAGCAATGGCTTTACAACTGTCTCCGAAATGTATTTCAGCAAGCGGAAACACGCTCACTTGCCCTCGCATAATCATGTCACGTGACTAAGCTTTATTCAGTGGAGACATTGCAGTGGCTTCGGAACCAACGTTCTTACAGAGTGTCCGAAGTGGCCCACCTTTACGTGTTAAGGTAGAGTTGTCTCTGAAATCTATTTTATCGCATCATGAGGTACCCAAATGACGTAAGCTTAATTCGCCAGCTAGATCAGGCCATTTATATCGGAGCAGGTAATGACAGCGTCAACATCGTATTTGACACAAGTGATGACATTGAAGCCCATCGATAAGTAGGAGTGGACATTTCGAAGTCCACTCCTACAAATTAGGCACCTCTAAGGCATTGCCTAATACGTTCAGTGCGGCAACATGCGAAACATCAATCGCCATGACATTCTTACGTGGGTTCACTCTAATGTCGACCATTTCATCTGACCGCGCCGGAACAGATTGTCTGTTGAGGCGCTTCATATAACCGTTGGACTCAGTAGGAACATAAATGATAGTGTTGGCCTCTGTCCCTGATGGTAATCGTTCATTCGGAGTATTCGAGGATGAAGAGGCCCTGGTGTTACGTCTCTTCGTCTTTCAGCGTGCTACGAGTTCGAAGTCGTCGTCTGAATGCCTCTCACTTGTGAGTGAGGGGACATCAGTGTCCTCGCTGTCGCAGTAAAGTCCACTCCGCTTTCTGGGCGAGGCCACCGCAGGGCCTGGCAGATATCCGAACTGGTCCTTGTACATCGCTGATAAACGCACGCAGCAGCCGGCTTCACGAGGTGAACATGTTAGTGAGCGAAAATTTTGGCGGATCCTACGTACCTGGGAATCGACATTATTTGAAGCACGCGGAGGGAAGGTGACCGGGTTGAATTTTTTTTTGAGCGACCCGTCATTAAATGACGCTAAATATTGAAGCTGTATGAGCCTTGCGACAGGAGAAGAAGAAGCACGAGAGCCGGGGCAGGAGAGAAGAGAAGGAAGAAGTTAGAATTGAAGCAGATTAATTTGTGGCCATAATATTAGCTGACCAAAAGTTACCCAGTTTAAAAAGAGTAGAAGCAGTCATCACTGACTCATTATCTGTGTGTTGTCTCTCTGCATCTGGTGAAACGCCTCTTCTAAAGCGTTTTCAGAATACTAGTTCCCGCGCACCTATAATGTCTCCACTTAATTTGGGTACTAGGACACAAGGTTTTGTTTTTAAACGAAAGCGCCAATTTTTTAGCGAAGGCGGCGCTTTTGATGCCAATCATTCTGGTTTTCCAACAGACAACATACATTACAACTGCACGATTCCGCACCATAACTTTCAGAAAATGCTTATCAGACCCCGTCTTGACAGCTTCTTCAGAGTATAAGCACCTATTATTTTCCTGGAAAAGTGAGTTATTGCGGTGGAGAATAATGGAAGTGACCATTACCAAACTTCGCTGCCGGGTTACCTCCCTCAACATTTACCTGCATAGAGCGTGTCAAGCGTTGTCTTCTCTGTGTATCTTCTGTAAGGAAGGGGCAACAATCAATCATTACTCTCTATGCTGTCGCCGCTATACGCCATTGAGAAGAAAACTCATAGCACCACCTCTTCGAAACTTGGGTCTGGAAATATCCCAATCAGCTGTTCTATCATTCGGCGCCTCTACTCTGGGCTACCGTCCCAGGATGTTCACTACGCAATAGAGGAATTCATCAGTCAGACCAAAAGAATATAGAACTAAATTCCTCGTTTTTTTAAACTTTTAAATATTATTATTCAGTAATTATTTGTTGTAAAACCTATCCATAGCATATAGGAGTAGTATTGCGAAGAAAAAAAAATTCACCTAACACTTGGTCAATCCCCTGCATTGGGTGAGAGCCATATGAGATAAGAAGAAGAAGAAGAAGAAGAAGAAGAAGAAGAAGAAGAAGAAGAAGAAGAAGAAGAAGAAGAAGAAGAAGAAGAAGAAGGAGAAGAAGAAGAAGAAAAAGAAGAAGAGAAGAAGAAGAAAAAGAAGAAGAAGAAGGACGCCAGTTCCATACTGAGGCTATAATGCTGTTCCATTTTTTTAAGTAACAACACTACATTATTTTCGTGCAGCCGGCCATCGAAGCCAACATGTGGGTGAAGTTCTTCATTGACGAGACCTCCGTGGACAAGATCATCTTTTCGAAGTACCAAGTTCAAGAGAAGCAGCTGTGGACATACCTCGTGAGCTCTGCTCGGAAGAACTCGTGAACCTGGTTGTGGGAAAGGCAGCCTTGGACACTACTGTACTACGACGAAAAGTGCGGTAAAAGCGAACTTGCATGTGGCGACCTTTTACAACCTAGTTCTTTAACCAGCGCGTCGAAGAGACTCAGAATCACAGTCTTCGACGCAAGAGGTGAGCCTCGTTTTGAAATCTCTTCAGCTGCAACATGAACAGCTTGTGCAACACAAACAAATTATGACATCCTTTATAAGCTCTCTAAATGAGGAGAAACCAGTGCCTAAATTTGTAGAGCCTGATTTCTTCGACGGTATTTCTTCAAGTCCAGAAAGTTGGCTTGAGGTCTACGAATATGCTGCTGAAAAAAACAGGTAGGACTCTGATGAGGATAAAATCACTAACATGCGTGTTTATTTGAGAGCGGTTGTGCTCAAGTAGTATAAAATATGCATTCCGAAAGACAATGTCGACTCTTGGAGTCAGCGAAAGAAGAAACTTCTGACCGTATTTGGGAGCAATCCAGTACATAGATGGAGTACAGCACCTAATGTCAAGTTCAAGCAGAGCTCCCTTGTCGAGTCCTTCTTCGAGAAACGCTGTTTTTCAAAGATAGCTGAGTTTTTGCTTCCATGTACGGCCGTAGAAGCCTTATTAATGCATGGATTACACACTGAATACTAGAAGCAGGTGCAAATATGGTCACCAAAAACTCTAGATGACCTCTTGAAGTGTCTTCAGAACATACATTCGACTTCGGAAACAAGCATAACCATCAATTCAAGCAGGTTTTTCAGTCGGAGTAAAGCAGACTGGTCAAGCCGCGATCAGCGAGAACTGAGCCACCTCGCAAGTAGCACACATTACTTGACCTGACGGGCTGCAAGAGGTCGAGTGAATAATAACGACGCTGAAGCTCAGGAGGACTCGACTGAAAAAAAGCAAATAAATGAGGGTGATCAGTTCCACCCGATGACTCCAAATGAGACTGTTTATTTAAAATCCTCTGCCTACTTCACATTCCCGTAAAGTAGGAAACAAGCCGATGATGACTCTCGTAGACAGCGGTGCATCTGTGTTCATTTTAAATGGCAAGATGGTGGATGCACGTTGCGTGCATAGTGGAATAGTCCGACGGGTAGACAGCTATGATGGAAAAGTAGTGATATGTGGGCCTTTGTAAACATCGCGTTCCAGGGTCAGAAATTAGAGAGCAACGCATTGGTGGTAGAGGGGTTGACGTACGACTTTTTGCTATCAAGACCAGATATAAAGAAATTAAAGAACAACTTATAGTGGGACGACATGGTTTTAGTCCAGGCCATACCAAGGAATGAGACATATCAAGGTAGACAAGATAACCTATGAGTTGTAAAGTGCGCGGAGGATACCGCAAAGACCTACCCTGAACTTGTATGCATAGAAAGCTATCCTCAGGCGATGAAGTCATACAAGCTTCATTTTGAGCTCGCTGACAAGACTCATCCAAAAATCACCTTACAATATGTCAAGAGAGCGAAAGATTTGGCTCAAGAAAGAGTTGCGGGATATGCTAGATGCTGATATCATACGACCATCGCTATCGCCCTTCGCTTATCTCATAAAGATCGCACCGAAAGAAGACGGAACCTTCAGATTATGCACCGACTACAGGGTTCTCAATCGTCAAACAGAACTCATGCCATTTCCCATGCCGAAGATCGACACAATCATAGATGAGACTGGTGGTTGCCGACATTTTCCCCGCATCGATTTGTGCAAAGGCTTCTGGCAGATCCCACTGATTGATTGACATGTGGGGTTTAACGTTTCAAAACCACCATATGATTCTGAGAGACGTCGTAGTGGGGGGCTCCGTGAATTTCGACACTTTGGTTTCTTTAACGTGCACCCAAATCTGAGCACACGGCCTACAACATTTCCGCCTCCTACGGAAATGCAGCCGCCACAGCCGGCATTCGATCCCGCGACCTGCGGGTCAGCAGCCGAGTACCTTAGGCACTATACCACCGCGGCGGGGTGAGGAAGTGCATGTTGAGTATCAGTGTATAATGTGTGCTTGTTTAGCCTGTTTTAATGAGGGGTTCAAGATACTACATGCCCAGGTATGTGTTAATCATTAAGCTACCAACACTTAAATCACATTTTGTTTAAATTGGTCAACATTTATCATTGCACATGATTTCACTAGGCTGCCCAGTAATTTTTTTTAAATTCTTCCTTGAAAGATTTCGACAGAAACTTTGAAGCTCAGATTGGTTGATTGATTCATTGATATGTGCGGTTTAACGTCCCGAAACCACCATATGATTATGAGAGACGTCATAGTGGACGGCTCCGTGAATTTCGACCACCTGGGGTTGTTTAACGTGCACCCCAACCTGAGCACACGGGCTTACAACATTTCCACTTCCAACGGAAATGTAGCCGCCGCAGCCGGGATTTGATACCGCAACCTGTGGGTGAGCAGCCGAGTACCTTAGCCACTAGAGCCCCGTGGCGAGGCCTGTGAACCTCAGGGTATTACTGGCCTAGACAAAAGTAACCTGGGTGAAGTGGGTATGCAGCAACACCTGAAAATGTGTCCTCGCAAGAAGCGACGAACATTGATGCGACGCGGTTCCAGCACTTCCAGAAAACGTACGCCACCCCTCACCGACAGCCGCCAGTCGCGCTCGCCGGCACTTGTCTGGTAAATATGCGAGAACACAGACTTGTCAAATCAGACTACTAATGAACCGTTAAGATGGCATAATGTTTCCGGCGCACTGCATTCGTTTTGGCCAACCTGCTTTGTAGTTGCTGCCAACGATAGAGCTACAGCAGTGGGCTGGCACGAATGCACTGTACGCTGCACTAAAAAACATCACAAATAATACTCAATATATTGTGCGGACGTATGTCCTTCCGTGGTTGTCTAGTGGATAAGTTACCCGGCCGCTCACTCGCAGGTCGCGGGATTAAATCCCGTATAGGTGCACGGTTTGGGTGCACGTTTTGAACCTGTTATTTTTTTTTTGGTGCACTGTTAAAGATATTCAGGTAGTCAAAATTTCACAGCCCTCAACACTGGCGTCTCTCCTAATTATATGATGGTTTTACGAGGTTAAACTTCACACATCATTATGTCATTACATTTGTGGTACAAGTAAAACTGTTTATTTTGTGTTATTTTTTTCTCAGATATTTGACATATATGGGTAATCACACTCTGAAACAAGCGCGAGTATTATAAATGGTAGTTGTCCCCCAGGAAGATGTTTCTGGTGACGCCCTAAATGCGTATACTTTGGGCGAAGACAACTCCCACGATCTCGCTTGAGAAATGGTGCGCCGCATTGCGCGAACATTCACGTTCCTCCAACATTTCCCGTGGTTTATTGGCCACATGGAGAGCTGTTGCGAAAAAAGAAAAAAAATGAATCGGACGTGCATGTCGCGCTTTTCCGGGCTTCCCCTGCAACCTTTATCCGCAAGAAAAAAGAAAACAATCCTCTACGCCGCCCATCGAGCGTGACTGGCCGGCTGGCGTGGGTCATTACGCGCACAAAGGGTGTTTCAGCACTCTTGATTCTGGGCTCCTTTTTTTTTAGCATTTACTTTGAGTTTCTGATAAAAATGTGAACTAGCATACAAAACAGAGGAAAAAGGCCCCATAGAATGCGACTCAACGCGCGCGCGACTCTACCAACAGGGCCCGTATTTCCATTTCATATATCGGAACTGAAGCCTATAGCGAATTCCCGAGACACAGCTTCGCGACGGTACCGTTGAAATTCAGGGTGAGGTAGCAGCTACAAAAAGAGAGGTTGTTTTTAAAAAGTTCAAAAAACTAATGCTGAAATTCAGGAAAATTTGCGCATCTTCACCGGTAAGCGAAACTGATAACATTTCAACCGAAGAAAGTCGCATGCATTGTTAAGCTGTGCCTTTTAACGCGGCTCTTCGGAACGATTCCGAGCAGGAAATATTGACAGCGCATTGGGTATTTTTACTCTTTGAGTTCTTTATTTCTAGTATGTTTCAATATAAATTAATAATAATAATATAATAATGATAATAATATTATTATTAATATTACCTTTTATTTCTTCAAATAAAACAGTACATGTGACTAGGCCTGCCAAAGCCAATTGGTGGCTTGAGTGGCAGAGCCTGGCAGACAGCAAAAAAACCGGACGCGTTACAAAATTGTATCTCATGGCCTAAGAGAGATGACAGGACAAAAAACAACGTCCATATAAGATTAGAAACAACAAATCATATAAGCAATAGTTACAAGCATTATACAATATTTACAGCAATTGAAAGTGAAAAGGTGTAAAGGAAAAAAGAAAGAATTACAGCAAATGCTTCTTAAGCAAAGTAACACACTGGATAATTGTGCAGCATCATACTTGCGAATGAGTGTATATGAAATAACACACGACATGCATTACAATTGTAGACAGATACGCCGTAGCAGTTTCTTTAATTTGTATTTTGTTTTTGTGCAAAAAATGCTTGGGGAAAGTGCATTGAAATATGTTGGTACATAATGGGCTCGTATTCTAGTTCCATACTTTGTCGAACACCGTGGCCTCCAGTAACGTACTTTGGGCCTTAAAAAACGAGAAGTAACATACGGAACCAGGAATTCTTTGGACCAGAAATGTTTTAAAACAACCGTTTGAATTAACAGATTATTGAAGTTTGGCATAAACAGCGTTTTGAAAATGTCTTTCTCAGAATTATAGTTCAGGTCATAAGATATATTTTTTAAAATTGAACGCAATCTTCTGTTTATTCTATTGTGCCAACGGACAGCACAGTGTCCATAAATGGTTATTCCGTAACGCAGTGTACTGTAATCTAAAGCGTGTGCTATGATCTTACGTACTGAAAACGGCATGTAGTATCTTATGTTATATAGTAGACATGACACAGCGCGAAGTCTTTTTCAAACATAGGCAAGATGAATATTCCAGGAAAGGTCGCTGTCAATGTATAAGCCAAGGTATTTCACAACAGATGAATACTGTATTGGACTGCAAGAGCAGGATGAACAGTTAGAACAATGCAAAATGAAAGGATATAGTCAAGGGTTACTTTCTTCAATGGGTTGTGGAGGCAGATTAGATTAGTTTTAGACACATTTATATTAATAAGGTTATCTCGAAACCAACCCATGGCTTTAGTGGCAGCTGAAGAAGAGTAATCGCCTCATAAAAGTTGTTTGCAGTCGTCACGATCACAGTGTTCGGCGTATTGATATAGAGAAACCGGTATCGCGCTGTGAAGGTCATTTACAAAAATATTGAATAGCAGCGGACTAAAAATTGATTCCTGTGGAACGCCGGTTTCGATGATTTGGAACGCGCTGTGAGATTGTTCAATGGATAAAAGTTGACGCCTGCCTTGGAGGAAATTTGCCAACAAAGACCAGAAAGCACCCCTAAATCCTAACTGAAAAAGTGTATCCAATAACAAATAATAATAATAATAATAATAATAATAATAATAATAATAATAATAATAATATTATTATTATTATTATTATTATTATTATTATTATTATTATTATTATTATTATTATTATTATTATTATTATTATTATTATTATTATTATTATTATTATTAATAATAACAATACTAGCAGCAGTAGTAATAAAATGCGATTAGGGACACAACCGCAGGTTGTTCGATAGTCGTTACTGCAAAACCCTTCGCAAAGAAGAGTCAACCACGAATGTTGTTCTATCGCTACTGATGCGCTCCGGGTAAACATTTGGACACACTAGAAGACTTCCCATGGCGGTTAAGTAAAGTGCAGCAGTTTTCCAAGTGGTTTCCAAGTTCAAGATACGAACATTCATATATTGCCTAAGTCGATGGGATGCCGTTTAAACAGTAAAGAAAAGTGTTTTTGCATGGAATTGTGATGTTGAGTCTTCCTTACCTTTTTTTATTAAAAAAATTGAAAGAGAGGGCCATAGGTTTACATCATCTATGTTTATATTTCATACATCGCCTTTTTCTGACGCTTTCGGAGTCAAAATGCTTTTCCTGTCCGATAACTCCATTACACCCGCTTTTTCGCTATCTCGGCAACTGCTTTCACGACTGCTTCGCGCTAAGGTGATGTGCCACCTGTCGAAGAAAGTTTGCGTGTTCCTGCAATAATCAAATTTAATGCCTGAACATATTATATTTGTCTAAGCTGAAGTATTCGAATATCTTAGATGCATAAAATAATAACATCTATTGTTTTACGTTCAAAAACAATAAGATGCGGATGATGCATGCCTTGATACTCGGCTCCGGAAGTGGAGACCATCTGCGGTTCTCTCACGTGCAAGGATATAACACAGTGCACGAGCCTCTTCCATTTTTCCAACATCAAAGTGCGACCGCCATGGCCAGGATCTTCTTCGGGTCAGTGGCCGAGTAGCGTAAGCTTTGTCCACCGCGGCAGACGAGTTGGCTAGGAATATTTTAAGGCTATGTCTGAGAATTATACCTAGGAGGGATGTCAGGAGAACATTTGCGAGGATGTAGAAATATCTGCATACGCTGATTCTACAAACAGCGTGCACATCTCATGCTACAGAGCAAGGTATATTACTTTCACCTACTTGTAGGCGCACAAATCCTTAGCTGAAAGTGAGAACTGTGAGTGGCCGGTACGATTTATGGCTTCTAGGATCCGCCATCGGTCGCCCCCAGAAATCGTTTATCGAAAGCGACAACGACGAAGACGACGTGTGTCGTTTACTCTCTCCAGTCACGTCAGGGTTACCGACTACGGCCACCATGTCGTCGTGCACGAAATCACCATCCAGCGAGTTCGCGTAGCACAGCACGGCCACAACAACAGCGCACACCGCGGGTATCCAAGTGGCCAAGGGCCTACGTGCCACGCCGTAGTCCACGCACATCGGTACATTGGTGCCACCGACTCCACCATCGCGTCACTTTCGGTGGTGCTGTTTCGTGGGGTGTTGACATCGTTGGCAATTGGATGATCGTCTCCGCTGCTTGTGCTGGTTTTCAACTGGTGATGTACCCAGACTCGCTGTTCGTAGTTTCGTAGAACGTTTGACGTAAGAGCGCGTCCTATTGACTACGGTAGCACACATGTCACGGAGCGACCCAGTCAGCGCGCGAACCATGTGCGCAGAGCGCCTTCTTTTACTGCGACAACGTCTGCACCGTGTGTCCGGATGGCAACACTTCCGATTGCCATCTGAGTGATGCGAAAGTACCGTTGTGGTGGACGCACCTGCAGGCGACTTCAAGTAGGCATGGATCAGGGATGATTGCGGGCCGCCACCCAACCAGCCCCCTGCAGCCATTGTTGAGATCTACACAACCAACGTAGCACAATACAGTCAAAACACGCACAGTGTCATCGCACTACCATTCCAAACATTACTCTCGAGCTGCGCTAACATGGTCGATCAACTACACAGGTACGCGCACAAGAAAACTTAAATCATAGCGGGGCGATTCGGCACTTCCCGAAGCACGTGGTAGCATAGGACAACTTACTGCCGACTGCCATAGTGAATCAAAGCGTATGCCCACTGACTACCGTCGCTTTGTGAGACACTTTCGGTGATGCGGCGTGATAATCCATGCGAACGGCTTCCGTAGGCTTGTCACACCAAGGGCACAGGGTACACCTTGACTACTATTTCAGAAGAAACTAAAAGAAAAATAAACATAACATCGCTCTATTTGAACACTACTGGTACGTCCCTTGAAACGCATGTTCCTCAGGTAATCTAGACGTCACTTGAGCTGACTAGAAAGACACACGACCATTTTATAGTGCTCGAACCTGACCACGACTTCGCCTGAAGTTACAGCGTCACTTTCCCTAACCGTATGTGCAACGTCGAATTCCTTCGCCTAATCTGTCGATGGACTGTGTAATGCGAAACTTGGTTACGACCATTCACGCGCAGCGTCAGAATAAAAGTAAAGATTCGCAGTACAAGCTAAGAGAATTCGGCGCTGCGAAACGCAAATTAGATTGACGCGTGAGCGGGGTGCAGAACCACGGGCGCCCGAGCTCGCTTAGCGCCTCCGGCGCCTGTGGTACTCAGCAGAAAGGCTGCATACGGACTGGACGGCCTTGCAAAAAGAGGAAGCCCTGGTGTGCTTTTGCGCATGCCCATAGGAGAACTTACGCTGGGACGTTCGGTGCTTCTAGTGGGTGAGCGCTGCCATCTCCCGGCTGGCGCAAATACTAGGGATGGAGGTGCCGCAAAAGCTCGCTTTTTGGATGCGTAGATTCGGGGCGCGGCTCTACAGAACTCGTTCGAGCGGTGAGCGAGTGTTCGAAACTTCGTACGTTGAATAGTTCGTTTTGTATTTGATTCAGAGTGCACACTTCTTGTTCGAAACATTGACACCGAAACATTGTTGTTCGAAACATTGACATCCAAGGCTTCACAGAATGTAATAAAAATAGAACAATGTATAAATACATGAGATACATTTCCAATTCTTTGGCGCCCATATATGCAAATTAGTTGCAGTTGTCACGTTCCCTTCCCCACTTTCTGTTGACTCGGCAGAATATCGCTTTCGCAGTTGTAATGTCTTCACGTGACGTGGCTTCAGCATGGCATCACATTTGTAGGGGAGCATATTGTTAAAATAGTGTTTAAACTAGCTGAACAAAACTACCGAAATAAAGGGAGAGTCGTATCAAACTTTTTAGAAATGTCGGAAAATTAGGAATCCCAGACTCGCTTTTGGCTATTATATGACTAAGCATAAGCAATGAATGATGTGCAAATAAGCAGTCATTGCTTCTGCAACTTCTGAAAGCGTGCTAGAGCATTTACCTATTACGAAACGATGGAAACGTCAGTCATAGTGTGTTCTAGTGAGCGTTCTCTGCAGGAACAGTGACATGCTCAACGGTCCCACGGCTTCTTGAACGGGCGCAGGAAAAATCTTTCGGGGCAACATCACAACGACAGCATAAGTGGTAGCTGTAGTGTCGTACAACGCATAAATGTTTTGATGAATACAACATTATCGCATGTCCTGCAAGGTGTGATTCGAAGCGGGCTTATCATTTATTTGCGAAACGTGACTTTAGGATTAGAAATTACTATATATAATATAAAACGCTGTCAAAAGCTTGGTTAACAGTGTATCTTTGTGAGGATCTAAAGAGCTGTGAATGAGCACGCAAAATATTCGCAACTTTGAAAGAAACCATGCGTTTGTTTTGTCACTATCCCAAAGTAAAACAGACGTAGGCCTATGGCGAACATTGCTGTCGTTAAGATAGCGTGTAGATCATAGCGATTGTACCGCGATCATTTTCTTTGCGGAAGACCTGTCTTTCACACTAAAATAAAAGCGAAATTGAATAAAAACGACACTTCGCTGATAATTTCACAAACAAAGCTATCGCAATTTATTATCCCTTGAACTATAATTACTCATAATTACCTGCTTAAAGTCATCGCAGAGAAGTGATTCTGTTGGCTGTGCATGTTCCTATATGTTCATTTACAAATGCCTAAATAGCTAAACAGAAGTGCGTGGTGTCAAAATTCATCTGGGGCGATGTGCTTTATATAGTTGTCTTTATAAGGATGGCAAACAAGCAGAGATTGAGCATGTCTGAGGAATCGCCAAAACTTAAGTTTCTCATCAACATATTCCAGCGTAGGAATAAAAAAGCATATGTAGGCATAACTCACAATATTTGTAGTGAATGTAGCTAGTGATAACTAAGCTCATAAAAACGTAGGCGGTGACGCGGATAGTAAGATTTGAAAAACATGAATGTGTTTCTCAGAACAAGGCATATTCAGCCAATATTGAGTAACAAAAGTAAAGTCTATTAATGGTAATATATTGTCTGTCTGTCTGTCTGTCTGTATGTCTGTCTGTGTCTGTCTGTCTGTTCTTGTCTGTCTGTCTGTCGTCTGTCTGTCTGTCTCTGTCTGTCTGTCAGTCTGTCTGCTGGTTTGTCTGACAAGCAGACGGACGGACGCTTCGCCCCTGTCATGGATATGCTGTGTATTTCTCATAATAATAGCACCATATATTTTCTTTTTTAGTCAACTATCTTAAAACAACTAGTGCCATCTAGTGATATTATTTTCAAGGACATACACGTACAACGCCGTCTAGTGACGAATTCTTAAAGTCAAATAGAAGTGGCTAATACTACTACACACTAATACGAGGCAACGACCCACACCCAAAAGAGCTTGGCCCCTCAAAAATTCTGGGTCAGAGTGACGATCAAACCCGGGTCATATGGATTCGAGTGAAGATTGAACCCGGGTCATTTGCGTGCAAGCAGTTGTCCTACCATACGGCCACACGTCTGTTGTCAGTACATTCAAAATAACTTCCACTCCTTGGAAATGCAGTAATAGAAATACATGCTTTAGAAACGCACGCATCCTGTATACATGATTTACAATACAACACGAAATACTGCAGTAATGAAACGTGGAACACGCGCCCTTTGCAATCGGTCGTCAAAACATGTGATTCTCTTGATGGCTTCGGGGTTTAAAGTCTGTTGCCCAATACGAAAAGCACACACGCTACTGCGCTTATTTCATAGCAAGTTGAAAAAAGTGTCATGCACTAATACCTACAAGCAACAGAAGATCGCTGTCACGTTCTACTGCTACAGGCAAAGCTTTAGGGTCCACAATTTTTTTTCTTCAGAACTCGTCTCAATTTAAGCGCACGTCTGTATTTTAGTTTCCTAACGCGTGCCTTACTCTGATGCCAGCAGAGTATATAGGCGACCTCTTAGTGAAGTAACATATTACACGAGCGAACTCAAGTGTTCCGCTTTGTTTGTTTAAATCACTAAGCAAGAGACGAAGTAATCCACTTTTCTTTCAGTAAAAAATTTTCAGACATCTGCGCTCTCTATATAAAAGTGTTTTTTGCACGTATATGCAAGGAAAACAAACCCATCACGAAAACGTGCGTTATTGCAACACGTCTGCTTGTCATAAATCTTGCAAATTATGGGACTCTCTATACTGTCTTCTCGAAGTTTAATTATTTTTTATAAAATGGTGGCGTGTGCGTAGAAAGACTAACTTGGTTGAAATTAACAAACAAGGACAGCTTACGGAGACAACAAAAATAGCAGAAAAAACGGTAATTAGGCTCCTATCTATATTCCTGCTACGTGCACAGAAGATCGAAAAGGAAGCAATTTGCCTCGGGCTCGATGTGAGCAGACACGTCCGCTTTTTCATTTCTCTCGTTTCATATACCAAAAAAAAAAAGGAAACAGCCTTACGTTCACCGTAACCTTGTGATGATGTTTAGTTTTTTCTTCCTTTCGAAAAGTATTTTATTTGAGATGTAATAACAAGTCTGAAGAGTTTTCGTGTCTGCCCTTTTGTACGCTTCAAGGTAGAAAACTCAGCGCGAGAAAAGTGCAAGGTGCTTGGCGAATCGATCACGACGCACTCCTTGATAATTTTTTTGTATGCGCATCACCGCGTCCTGAAGTAGCCATATATTTGCTATAAGAAAAGTATTGCACATGATGACTCCTCGTTGCATACCAGGGTACACTCTTGTGATGCAATGATCTGCAGGGGTATCAAAACAGTATTTTTAAGGAACAAAATTTGAGGCGCAAAAATCAAGGACCGAAGAGAAGAGTACACACGACGAGCGCTAGCGACATCTAGTAGTACCACCAGAGCGTGAAGCTCTTGTTTCTCTTTCAAGCACTTCCAGTTGGGCATTTACTTCTGGTTTTCAGAGTGATAATAAATTCGTATGCGAGAAGAAAACTAGAGCTAATTTGAAGGTTGAAATCCAACGTAAGTGTTACACTCTTCTTTGTGGTCCTTGTTTTTTGCGCTTCATATTTTGTTTCCTAGTTTCGTAGCAACTCGCCCAAGCTTACGTGTTG